AAAAGCGAAAACGCACAGAATGTTTTCAAAAAGGTCAAAGTTCTAGTTAAAAATAGCAACAGTTCAAAAGTCAAAGTAGCACACGATAAGCTAAAAGCAGCAAAAGACTAGCTAAAAGCTAAAAATGTCAAAAAGCTAGCTAAAAACACCCTAGAACTAGCCAAAGCCTAGCTAAAAACAGAAAACCTCGAGCGCCTCACCCCTCTTGCTCTTGTGCCAGATGTCGTACTCGACGTTTCGGAGCAGAGTCGGGTTCAGAGACCGCCACACCCTCTCGGGCAGCCTCCGCCCGCGGCCTCGACCCTGAAATAAAAACATTTTCAAACCCGCCTCCAGAAGACGGATGTTCCAAACGGCCCGGGGGACGAAGTGTTACCCTGAAACTTTGGCTGCTGGACCTGGAGGACGTCGCGCTCGTCTCGTTTTCCACCCTGCAGGAGAAAAACACCGTCTGACTCGGCCCTCCACACAAGTCGCTCGAGTTTTAAAGACGGGTCGTACCACAGCAGCTCGTCCGGCTCGGAGTCGTCGCTGCTGCCGCAGGCGGGCATGGCGTCGTCGCTCAGGACGTTGTTGGGCCGGCCGCCCCGCTGGCACTGAGCCAGGACGCTGCGGTCCACCTTAAAGACGCCGTCGTAGAGCAGCTCGTACAAGACGGCTGCAGGGAGGGAGTTCAACCAGCCACTTTATTTAAACCCCTGAGGAAGAGCGCCTCAAACACGAAAAACTTCAACTCCAACTTCTTGATTTATTTAGTAAAACAAACATTATTTGACACATTTTCTGGTCCAGAAGTTCAGAGCATCATTAAAGCTGCAGTGGTCCGTCAGCTCCTGCGTTCAATGTGAGAACACTCGTCAGAAAACGCTTTGATTCAATCTAACCAGGTTCAGTCGGGTGCGCTGGACGGATCCTTGTCGTTCACACGTTTCATCGTTCATCCAAAGGACTTCTTCAGTCTGAGGAGCTGCAACACACTCGGTCTTAAAAATCACTCCGGACCGGGCTGCTCCGAGGTGCTCCGCACAGCAAAACTGCAAACTACACCTGAACCTGCACGTCCTCATCGTGTTGACGGACGGCGCCACAAGCAGCGAGCGCATTTACTGAGACGTATCGGAGGCGATGGTGCGGCATGACTACACCCGGACTCATGAGCAGCGCTGGGACAAGCTAAAGGAACCGAAGAAGTGTGATTATAAAGCGATTACAACAGGTGGACTGGCTCGAACACAATGACCAGTTACAATTAGACCCGTCACGATAAATCCTGCCGGGCGATTCATCGTCTCAGAAATTATTGAGATAAACGATAATATTGTTTGAAATTTAACAATAATTACTCATTTTTGTCAAATTTAAGAAGAAATGTTGGTTCTTTTGTGTGTAGTACCTTTTTTAACCCCCAGATGGCAGTATAAGACTGTTTGAACTGAAGGATGGATAGTGAGGGAGCG